ATATATATTTATATATTATATATATAATATATATTTATATATAATAATTATATATATAATATATATTAATATATAGTATGGTTTACATAAACCATTTTTTGGGGAAAAATACAAAAATTAATATATAAAAAAGAAAACAAAGAGATCTGCTCACTTTTGCAAAAATAAATACAGCATAGGCAAACAAGAAGACAGGGAAATAATTAATCTACAAAAGTTGGAGCTGAGGAGAAAAGATGCATTTTATCAGAATATTCCAGCTAGTCAATATAATAGAGGTAGATAGAAAGGAAAAATTCTTAGTGGACTGTTAAAAAATAAAAGACAATTAGGATTTGGTCATGTTTTGATTTCATATTACAAAGTAAAGGAGGGAGAGAAAGCAGGAAGAAACAAAATTAAAAACAAGTCAGGCAGGGAGACAGCTGGACCCAAGTCGATACAGTGGTAGCAAGTCTCAGGTTTCTCTGTCACACAGACTGACCTTGACTTTGGCTGGACGGCCCCCACAGGGGACATGATAGAAGGATGCCTGCTGCACAGCCACCATCAAAGCATTTTTCTGAGCAGCTTGGCATGCAAGGGTCACTTGCATATTTTCCACTCCTGAATGCAACAAAAGCTAAAGGAAGAAAACAGTACACTGTATTAGCAACTTCTCCACAAAGAAAGATTAAATCCAGGTTTAAAGTAATCACTAATTTAACTTGTAAATATATGAATCAAACTAAAGGATGAGATAGACACCGTGACTGGGATAATGGGGGTAAGAGTGTCGGAGACAGTAAGACTGGCTCAGGCATGAGCAGAGTTCAGAGCTATCATACAGAGGGTCACTATGAGTCGCTGTCAACTCTATGGGACATAACAACAACAAAAAGTTCATATTCAGGCTGTTCAGTCACAAGCTGATTCTGGTCTCTCCTTAAATAACATTTTACTGTCTGGGGCAGCCTCCAGAATAGATTTCCACCATATCTGGACACTATCTGGTTTCCTTAATAGTCAGAAAAGGACAAGTAGGCTCTGATGAACTAGCAAAAGTGCTCAATGGTAGGCTTTGTGCAAAATTGTCAGGATTAGGGTATGCTTAAACAATACACACAAATACAGACACACACACACACACACACACACACACATACACAACCCACAAAACCCAAACAGAAAACTAAATACAGACTCACATATACAAATATATACACAAAGACATTAACTGAGTGGCAGGGTAAAAGTAGCACTTAGATGAAAAAGATTAGATAACATCTATTTCTTTAAAAGCTCAGGGTTAAGGCAGTTTGCCACAAGTATTTTATTTTACTGTCTATATCTTATAGGCCACTGTTAAAACACATGGTGAAATAAGGTAACAGCAAATAAGGCAAGACCACCACTGCTTTATGGTCCAGACCAGAATATTTTTTTAATGTATAAGAGCTAAACTTACATGATTCAACTCCATGATAGTTTGAAGGACTACCTTTGTAACCTGTTTAGTTTACTTGAGTTTCTTTTCAAAGCAGTAATGATAAAAGGTTAAGATTATTTACCTTAAGGATGGCTTCCTTCGTATAAAAACTAAATTTGCCCACTTGAGTGTCATCCAATTCAGAGATGGCTAGGACAAGAGTAGTAGGAGAATATCTATAAGGAGAAACAGGAAACTGTTTTGATGACAGGCTGAAAGTCAACAGACAAGATAGAACAGATGGCAGGTGGTCAGGTCTCGAAGGCCAGTGGTAAGAACACCACCCCACTGCCGTCCAGTCGATTCTCCACTGGGCTTCCGAGGTTTAACATGTTTACAGGAGGAGACTGCCTGTCTTTCTCCAGAAGAATGACTGTAGGGTTTGAACCACTAAACCTTCATTTAGTGACCAACACATAAGACACTTTGTCACCAAGTCTCCTTAGTTATAACATGTTGTTGTTGTTGTTGTTGTTATGTGCTGTCGAGTTGCTTGCAACTCACAGTGACCCTATGTCTCTGATCAATTCTGCTCTGTCCTGTGCCAATCTCATTGTCTCCGACACACGTATCCCGATTGCCCCAGTCACCAAATCAATCCACCTCCCAGAGGGCCTTCCCCTCCTGTGCCTGCCCTCACCCTCCCAAGCATGATGTCCTTCTCCAAGGACCGGTCCCTCCTTACAACACGTCCAAAGTATGTCAGACGAAGCCTCAGAATCCTTGCCTCCAAGGAGCAGCCCGGTTTAACCCACTCCAGGAAGAATCTGTTTGTTCTCTTAGCAGTCCATGGTATCCTCAATACTCTTCTCCAACGCCAAAGCTCAAAGGCAACATGTACATTATTTTATATTAGACTTGGTGTTTAAATCCAAAGACTTCAAGGGCTCTGGGGTCTTTTTGGTCCTTGTTGGACTAGCTCTCTGCATGTGAGTGTGGGGGCCACTTGCAGTGTTTGAATTATTTTATCTTGATCATAGATATACTGTTTTTCTTTCAACCTTTCTGAACACTCAGGCTCTTTATGTTCTTTTGTATGATCTCTTCCCTCATCACCCTCCGGCCCCCACAAATAGTCCCTTCTCTTTTCAATCTCTCCTGTGGTTCTAACAATCATCGAAATGTTCTCTGCAGTCAGATTCCACCTTGGGATATTTGTCCATAACTATAAGACTCTGCTAAGTAATGTAATATTTAGGAATCTTGGTTATTTTACCTACAAACAGGAATACCACTGATCTCATCATGAGACAATATGTGTGTATGTACTTTTTAATAATTCTAAATAGCTAGACTTATGTTTGCTATAGAATGACACTCCAAAGTGGAAAGTTTAACATTTAAAAGGAATTAACACTTGATATATTCAAAAGTGAATATAAACTGAAAGCACTTCCTTGGACATGTCAATATTTCTACAGTGGTAGGGGGTGAACTTTGTTCCCCCAAAAGATATGTGGTATGGGAGCGCGGGTGGCGTCATCTATAGGGAACTGAACTGCTGACCCAAAGGCAGTGCCTCCAGTGATGTGAATTCACAGGCAGCTCTGGGAGGGAAAGATGAGCAGTGACCTTCCTTGAGATTTTGCTTCCTTGGAAACTCGCTGGAGGGATCAGCTATGAGTTGGGTCCAACTCAATGGCACTGAGTATTTGGTGTTTTTTAAAAATGTTGTTATTGTTGATAAACAAGCAAGCATATATACACTTAAGTTATAAAATAAGCTGTTGTTGTCATTGTTAGATACTGTCGAATTAAGCACAACTCATTGCAACCCTGTGAACGTCCTAGCCTGTGCCATCCTCAACATCTCCAACACATTTGAGCCCACTGCAGCAGTCACTCAGTCTGTCCATCTCATTGGGGGTCGTCCTCTCTTTCACTGAGATTATACATTTCCAAACACAATGTGCTTTTCCAAGGAATAACCTCAACTAGCAACACGCCTCAAGTATGTGAGATGAACCTTTGTCATCTTTGCCTCCAAAGAGCACTCTGGCTGTACTTTTCCCAAGACAGAGTTTGTTCTTTTGGCTGTCATGTACTCTTCTCTAACACAAATCAAACGCATCAATTATTCTGATTTTTTTAAAAAGATACATTAAAGTCTTAAATTCTGGATGCCTGTGATAGTGAATTTTTTGGAAACAAAAGTCTTGCAGATATAGTAGAGTTAAGATGCGATCGTTAGTGTGAATCTTTGCACATCTAAGCGAGGAGCACAGTGGGAAAATCCACCTTCACTGCTGTGTGCTACGTATCAGTGTGAATCCAATGCCTGTCTGTAGGGGATCTAGACCTCACCTTACTACATCTCTTCCTTGCTGCCAGCTGCCCACATGGCACTTCTCTCCTCTAATCCTTACCCACCACCTGCGGTTAGGCCAGATTTTCAAGTTCAAAGGATACCGTCCTTTAAATCAACTGCCTGCACAGCCCTTCTCTGAATTTGTTACCACAAGCTAAATCAGAGTTCAAAAGTTAGAAGAGCTCAATCCCTCTGTCCTTTCAATTGCCAGATAGGCAGGGGACAGGCTCTGCTGGCTCTCCTGCCTGCTGTGGGTTTGCTAAATCTGAAGCGAACAATTCATGAACACGATGTATTCGCACAGTCACTCGCTAGAGATTCTGGGTATTTGTAAATAGAAGAGTCTCAAAGCAGAGTTTTAACTCTGTTTTAAAATTTTGACACTCTAACAGTTCATGTTGGTTTGTGAAAATTGCCCTTTTCTAACAACAGTTTCTCTAACCTTGATGCTGACCTAGTAATACACTCTAAAGGAAATACCCTTTTTCTCTGAGGTGTGGCAGGTGTGGAATATCAGTCTATTCCCAAAAGGTCTTTGCCACAGAGCCAAACAGGTGTAAGATGTACTAGCTTGTGCCCAGAGGGTCTTGTTGCACAGCCTTATCAAGAAATCTACCCAATGGACCTCTAGAAACAAACATGATTGACAAAGCAACTTTATTAATATTATTTTTCTTTGCTATGAGTTAAGACCGACTCATAGCTTCCCATGAGGTTTTTAGAGGCCCCAAGTTACACAGGAGGAGATTGCCCATCTTTCTCCCACACAGCAGATGGTGGATTGGAACTGCCTACCTTTGGGTTGGCAACACAACTCCTTACCACTAAGCCTCCAGAGAGCTCTGGTGGCTTTGTGGTGAGAAGCTCCCAAAGGCACATGGTTCTCACCAGCTGCTTCATGAGATAAAGGTCAGTAATCTCTTCCTGTGTGATATACTGCCTCTGAAAACCCACTGGAGGGTCAGCTATGGCTTGGTTTTGACTCAAGGACACACAACAACAACAACAACAACAACAAAGCCATCCTCCCTAGCTCATTAATTGTTGTTATGTTCCATAGAGTCACCTGTGACTCATAGCAACCCTATGTACAACAGTCTTAAACCCTGCTCTATCCTGTGCCAATCTTCTTTTCTCTGACACACCTACCCCCATTACCCCAATCACTGAATCAATCCATCTGTTCCTCTCCTGCACTGTCCCTCCACTCTCCCAAGCATGTCCTTCTCCAAGGACTGATTCCTCCTCGCAACATGTCCATAGTATGTCAGATGAAGCTTCAGAATCCTTGCCTCCAAGGAGCAGCCTGGTTTAACCCTCTATAGGACAAACCTGTTTGTTCTCTTAGCAGTCCATGGTATAATCAATATTCTTCTCCAACACCACAGCTCAAAAGCATCAATTCTCCTTCTATCATCCCTAATCATTGTCCAGCTCTCTGATGCATAGCAAGTGATTGTGAAGACTATGGCCTTTGTCAGGTACACCTTAATCTCCAGACTGACATCATTGCTCTTCAGTACTTTGGAGAGGTCTCTGACAGCAGACTTTCCCAATATAATACATCTTATAATCTCCTGGATTCTGGTGCCAAGAGTGTTTATTGTGCAGCCAAGCAAACTAAAACTGTAAACAATCTCAATCTCTTCACCATCTGTCATGATGTTACAAATAGGCCCAGTGGGGAAAATCTTTGTTTTCTTGATATTGAGCTTCAATCCATATTGAAGGCTACAGTCCTAGGTTACAAAAAAACCCTTGTCCTGTCACTTCCCTGGAACCACTCTGCAATGAACTGAATGGCATATAATCCCACTTATGTTATTTACCCACCCTTCCCAAATTCTTTAGCCAATCATATAACCCCACTTAAATGTTATTCACCTATCCCTGGCATATTCTTCACCTTTAACTCCTCTAATGGTCTTTCAGGCAATCATGAAGTTTGTACGTTTAAGTTCTCTAATAGTACAAATTTGTGCCCTTCTGTAAAAAATGGAATGAGTTTGGACTGTGTCCAACTTCCTCTAACTTCAAGAAGAGCTAAAAGAACTTCTATCAATAAATATCAAGAGCCCAAGCCTAATTCCTATGAGGCTGAAATCATACACACCCCTTCTCTACACACCTTTTCACTAACTCTGACATCAATGTCTCTCTCATGGCACTCCTTGCTTCGCTGCTGTGTTGAATAATTATGACAGTAGCCACAAGAAAACTTACAGACCATACTCAAAGTCATGGTCTTACTATGGAAGAACTTACTAGGGAAGTTACAGGCCTTAGTTCAGGGGTAGGAACATTCAGGATCTAGGTCTTCAATCAGAACAGTCTCTCCTCAGCTGTATCAAAACACAAGCTTCTCTAGACCCTGACTTCATGGCTTGGCCTCTGCCCAACTCATGCAAGTATTATAAAGCTTTTTCAGCTCTGCCAAGTTAAGTGCCCAGTGGCAGCCCATTCTACAAGCAAACCTAGGCTCAAAAGATCTGAGATCTGGTTCCAAAGGGTCGACAGACCTGGCTCTACTGGCAAATGGGCTCCTGCAGCATCAATAAGAGTCCTGCCGGAAAACACTCCACTTACTCATTCTGTGGGCCAGGAAGCCCCCTGCCCTATCTCCAGTCTGTCTGTTGGTTTTGTTGTCTCTGTTTCTTTATGGCCATTGCTCATCAGGGTGAAGCCAGGCTGCTCCTTGGAGGCAAGGATTCTGAAGCTTCATCTGGCATACATTGGACATGTTGCAAGGAGGGACCAGTCCTTGGAGAGGACTGGTCATGCTGGGAGGGTGGAGGGACAACGTAGGAGAGGAAGACCTTTGATGAGATGGATTGATTCAGTAACTGGGGTAATGGGGGTAGGAGTGTT